TACTTTTTATATCCACCATTCTATATTTACTTTTTCTATTTACATTCTTATATATACTTTTTATATTTACTTTTTATATCCACCATTTTATATTTACTTTTTAAATTCACAATTTTTTATTTACTTTTTATATCCACAACTTTATATTTACTTTTTCTATTTACATTTTTATATCCACGTTTTTATATTTACTTTTTATATTCGCGTTTTTCTATTTACTTTTTATATCCACCATTCTATATTTACTTTTTCTATTTACATTTTTATATATACTTTCTATATTCACTTTTTCTATTTACATTTTTATGTTTGCTTTTTATATCCATGATTTTATATTTCCTTTTTAAATTCACAATTTTTTATTTACTTTTTCTATTCACGTATTTATATTTACTTTTTACATTCACCATTTTATATTCACGTTTTTATATTTACTTTTTCTATTCACGTATTTATATTTACTTTTTATATTCACTTTTTATATTTACTTTTTCTATTCACTTTTTATATTTACTTTTTCTATTCACCATTTTATATTCAGGTTTTTATATTTATTTTTACCTTTACATTTCACAGAAACAAACCCAGTAACATTTCAATACATGACTGAACTGGCCATTTCAGCCCCTCCCCACCCAAACCATCCCACCACACACCAAGACAACCCAAGCTGCTGAGAAACCACCGAGGCAGCACAGAAAGCACTTCAAGCCCTGGGGTTTTTTTGACTTGAAAACTCATTCAGACAAACATCCCCAAAGCCAAATGCTTCAAGGAAACGAATATCTTGAATTTCCGAGGTGCTGGAGGTGGCACTCACCCCTGAGGGCGGGCAGCAGGGACCTCTCCTTCTTGTCATCGCACTTGTTGCACTCGCTGAAGTAGAGCAGCAGGAACACGTCCAGCAGCACCCACAGCAGGGACGTGGCCAGCACCACCTTGCAGTAAATGAACCTCCTCATCCTCTGCCGGGATCGGGCTCCGGAGCCGGGAAAACACCGGGGAAGGGGAGGGCTGAGGGATCACAGAGCCACGGAGAAAACCCGCCCCGGGAGCGGGGATGGCGTTCCCTCTGCAAGGGGAATAAAACCAACACCCCGTTACAACCACTGCTCACTGCTTTAGTGGACATCAGGTTATATCAGCACATGAATTTGCAGTTCCCTCAGTGTATTTATAATGCTATTTTAGATCCCTGAACACCACAAGCAAGCTCATTTTTATCTTGCCAAAAAACACTTTGGCCACCGCTTGGCCGTGACCTCGTAAAGGGACAGTGAGTCACTCACAGACACAACCTGGCTCTTGCCTGAAAGAGCAAACTGAGGCAAAAAAAGGGAAGGGTGAGGTCTCTGTGTCTGATTCTCCCAGGGCTGGAGACCCCCTGGAGCCAGGTGGGTTCCCCTGGAGAAGAGAAGGCTCCAGGGAAACCTGAGAGCCCCTTCCAGGGCCTAAAGGGGCTCCAGGAGAGCTGGAGAGGGACTGGGGACAAGGCATGGAGGGACAGGACACAGGGAATGGCTTCCCACTGCCAGAGGGCAGGGAGAGATGGGATATTGGGAAGGAATTCCTGGCTGGGAGGGTGGGGAGGCCCTGGCCCAGGTTGGGCAGAGAAGC